TGAGGCAGAAGGATTCCAGAGAGTGAGTATAAGTCTTCTATTACTATTGCTGTTGACAATAACTTAATCAGGGAGGACTGATAAAACAACTAATTCACACTGATGTGTTTGTGTGTTAATATAGTTGTGCAGTAGTCACTAATGCTGTTTATCAAATACTCTGGCTCTCCATCTTAGAGACACATGGTTGGATTGTGCCTCCTGGATCTCTGTGTTTGGATAGGATCATAAGATTAGTTTTGAACAATGAGTTTTGGTCAGAAGTGGTATGGGTCACTTCTGGAACAGAGTATTCGACTGCCAGTGTAAAATATTTAAGAGTATTTCTCAGATTCTGACAGAGTGATGATTAATGTTTTCAAGGATGACTGCTCCATAATCTTGGGTTGCTGAGTATTTAAAGTGAGCAGCAGCCTTACACTTGTCTATGGGGACATGCAATGTGAATGAGAAATAAAACTTTGGTTTTAAGGTCCTAAGATTTTAAGGTTGTTTGTCTCTGTAAAACAGCCTCGATTTTCCTGACTGATATACTTGCTTTTTCCAGGATATAAAGGGCAGCTTAGTGAGGATGCTGGGCATTTGGAGAAAGGAAGAATTAAGAAAGAAGGGGAAAAGAGTTGGGTACTGAATATTCACACTGTCATGACACTTGAGTGTTGGTGGGGAGAGTAAATCTGCCCTGTATATTCATCTGTCTTTGCAGCCTCATTTTCCTTACTTTCAGATTGAACAAACCTCAGAGGGCTTTTCACTGTCCCTTAACTACATTGCAGTGCTTATTGCCTCCATATACTTGGGTGTTTTCCAGTATTTGAAATACCCAGTCCATTTCTTCACCTTTTGAAACTTCATCTGTCAAAATTCAGTCTATCCTTCGAGATGACCTCAGGTCATTCTTCCAAGAAGTCTTACCAATTACCTATTAAACTCGTTGAGTTTCTTCCTCTGAAAATTAGTAGGATTTATAACTTCTTGACTGGTGGGCATTGTCAGGCTTATATTAATAGAAGAGTTATTTGGGGATAACTTTACCTTTCTATATGGTTGCCGGGTGTATTGAGGATGGTAGAAACCAACTTTCTGAAATCTGGATCCTAGCAGTACCAAGCTAGGATTCAATATGCATTTGGTTAATATCACTGATAGAAACCAAATGTTTTGCTCCCAGGTCAATTATCTTACTGCCATCCAACACCACTTCTCATGACCTCTTTGAGTGCACTGAGGAAAATGGTTAAGAAGGAAGGATAACATGATAACGTCTTAGGGCATCTCCCAATGATGGCATTCCATCATTTGTTCTTTCTATGACTGAATTCTGTCCCTTAATTTCTTCAAACCCTTCTTCATATCTTTGTTCCTGAGGCTGTAGATGAAAGGGTTCAGCATGGGTGTCACTACCGTGTACATAACTGTGGCTACCCGGTCCTTCACCACTGAGTACATGGACAGGGGCCTAAAATAGACATAGATGACACTGCCGTAGAACAGGACGACCACAGTGAGGTGGGAGCCACAGGTGGAGAAGGCCTTCCACTTCCCAGCTACACAGGGGATTGTGAGCACAGTGACGATGATTCTCAGGTAGGAGAAGATGATGCACAGGAAGGGAGTCACGATGACAGCAAGGGTCTCGGTCATGACCACAATCTGGCTGGAGGATGTGTCAGAGCAGGACAGTTTTAGCACAGGCTGAGTATCACAGAAAAAGTGCTTAATGATGTGGGAGGCACAGAAAGACAGGCGAGACATGAGTAGCACCCGGAACAGGGAGTGTAGGTGGGAGATGGTACAAGAACCCAACAGCATGAGGAGGCAACGCCGTGGGCTCATAACCACATCATAGTGGAAGGGTTTGCAGATGGCCACTAGCCGGTCAATGGCCATGGAGGCCAGTAGGTAGCTGTCAGTGTTCCCAAAGGCCATGAAGAAGTACATCTGGACCAGGCAGCCCACATAGGAGATAGCCTTTGTCTCCGAGAGGAAATTCACCAGCATCTTGGGCACAATGACGGTTGTGAAGCAGATATCCATAAAAGACAAGTTGCTGAGGAAGAAGTACATGGGGGTATGGAGCCTGGAGTCAGAGTGGATGGCCAGGATGATGAGCACATTCCCCACCACGGTGACCAGGTACATGAATAGGAAGATGGCAAACAGAGGCTTCTGCAGCTGAGGGTTGGAGGAGAGGCCCAGGAGGATGAAGCCCGAGGTGCTGCTGCTGGAGTTCTTTGACTCCATGTCCCGGGACGTCTTGGACAGGGTTTGGAGAAGCCATAGGAGAGATGCAAAGGGAAATTTGATCAAGACAGCTTCTTCTCTCTCCTCAAGCTCTAAGAATACCTCACTGCTATTTGCTATGCTTTTGAAAGAATATTTAAGAAACTATAGAGAGAATGTTTATCACAGCGGAATTCACAATTGCAGAAATGTGGAATCACCGAAGGGTCCATCAACTGATGAGTGGATAAAGAAAATGTGAGGTATGTACACACACACACACAGACACACGCACACACACACACAGACATACACACATACCATGGAATGCCACTCATCCATAAAAAAGAATAAAATAATGTCTTTTCTATCTCCGTGAATGGAGCTGGAGGCCATTGTCCTAAGTGAATATCTCAGGAATGGCAAAACAAATACTTCATGTTCTCACTTATGAGTGGGAGTTAAGCTGTGGGTATGCATGGTCGTATACAGTGTAATAATGGACATTGTAGATTCAGAAGGGGGAAGGTGGTACGGGGGTGACCCATGAAAAATAACCTCTTGAGTACAATGTACACTATTTAGGTGATGGGCACCCTAAAAATCTTTACTTCACTACTATGCCATTTACCCATGTAACAAAAATAACCATTTTACCCCCTAAATCTATTGACATAAATGAATAAATAAATCAATACTTTTTTTTTTTAGTAATTGAAATTTTATCAGTTGAGGATCAATACGCATTCAACAAGGGCACAGTTAAAAATCTCCAAGCTGCCTTCTAAGTTAAAAACTAAAGATTTTTCATGTGTTCTTAGGAACTTCTATGTGGCCTAATTTATCTAAGTTCTCATTTCTCTTTCTAAAGATTCTTCTTAGGTTGTCTCTTGATCAAATTTTAGCCTCTTTTTTTTTTTGTCCCAGAGGAAGAGGTTTATGAATTTTACATTCAGTCAGGATGCTTTTATATAAGGGATCCCCCTGAATGGAGTCCTTTCTCTCAGGGTCCTCTCCTGCTCATGTTAATAGTTGCAGAGATGGTGGTGACAGTGCAATAATGAACATCAGAATTAATCAATGCTCCTTGATATCCACATAATTCAGATGGTACTTCCTTAAGTCTTGAGAGCAAAACATGCTTAAATGTCTATTTAATCCTTTCTGTTTGGATAAGATGACCTGGATAGGTTTCCATCTAGGGATGCTAGTCAAAATAGGAGTACTACCAGGAATAGCTTATGTTACTGAGATTAGTTCTTTAAATGTGTGAATTTTTCTCATTATAAAACTATGAAGTTCTCATTCTAAACATTCAGAAATTCAGAAATATTATAGAAAACTCAGAGTCTAAGAGTCCTATGTTCACCAGTATCGTGGAAAAGATAAAGAAAGGATGGTTTCTGTTATCACTATTCAGCTACATTGCTGAGATGGTGGTCTAAGCCAGTGAAAAACGAAAACTAAAGAGATAGGAGGCATAAACATTAGAAAGGATGAAATTGTCATTATTTTTAGGTGATATGATTGTTCACATAGAAAATCCTAGAGAGTCATCTGAAAAAATTTAAAATCCATGAAGACTTTACCAAAATGGCCAAATATAAGATAAATATACCAATATTAATAATTTTCTTGTATTAGAAAAATGTAATTTGAAGAAAATTTCAATTGGGGGGAGGGGGAGCAAGGGCATCATATGTAACCTAATCATCTGTACCCCCATAATATGCTGAAATTAAAAAAAAAATTAATTAA